TACATGGCAAGTAAAGAGTGTCTGGAAAACAGAAAAATGATATGAAATGGATACATGTTGGCTTTGTTGCCAGAATCCTGGTGATGGGTTTCCCTGCAGGGCCCTTCTGTCCCCTCGTGCTGCTGCTTCTGGGCCCCTTTTGTGTCATGTCCCCATTGCTGTGTCTGTGTCACCATGTGTCAGGGCCACCTGCCCAGGTCCCTGCTGTGTGGCCTTGGGGGGCAGCTGGCTGGGGCAAGAGGGGCTGGTGGCAGGGATTTGTCTGCCCAAGGGTGGGTTCCCGTGGCTGGGGGGCTGTGGTGCCCCCCACACTGCTCCTCTCCTTGCTCACCATCAATGCCTGAGGCAGCCCCAGAGGTGAGCAAAACTCACAGTGAAGTTGTGAAGTCCTGGCACCAAAACCCAACCTGCAGAGCTGGAAGCAGGTCAATAGCAGCTCTGGTTTACATCTCCACTACAACCAGAATACAATAATTTTATGTACATAAATACTTAAATACATGTATTTTTTGTATGACAGATTTATACAGGGTGTGTCATTACTCGCTGTGAAAAGTCTCCATCACCTATAAATTATCCTACTTAAATTCCCTGCCATAAGATTGTTTTCTTATCTCTGTTGTGTTATGAAGTTTTGCAAAGTTGCATATTTTAAAGTGTTTTTGTTTTAACTCCACAGACTTCACTGGGAATTTTGCTTAGGAAACAAATGCCAGATCAGGTCCTGATGTTTCTTCTACCAATTCTTTATTACTCTAGATCTTGCCAAAAAGAGAGTAAGAGTAATATAATGATAGCAAAAAGGCCAATAACATGAACTTGCCATTGGACAGTGTTGGAATCCTGATGCCTTGGTAGGGTGTTTTTTACAGTTACATCAGTGGAAATACATGTGAAGTATATCTTTGTATTTTATGTTAATACATTTCTGTAATTTTATTGCATGAAGATTCTACCATGTCACAGAATATTTAAGTTAGGACAGGTTTGTGTTTTTGCAGATACTGCGAGAAGCCATTGCCTGTGTGAAGTAATAAATGTGTATTTTTAACATTGCAAGTGTTTGTTGTCGTTTCTGGGCTATTGAGCTGCAGGAAGAAGCAGTGACTCTGCTGAGAAGTAGCTGTTCCAGGGGCATGTCCTGTGTGCACAAGGTGACAGGAGCTGTTTAGCCTCCAAATGACCGAGCTGTGTGTTGGTACCGGTGCTTTGCAGTGTCCTGCTTCCCAGTGTCCATCCATCTGGAGGTATTTGTAATTCCTGTGGAGGATCTGTCTTTCCAGCAATGGGGCTGCAGGTCCTTGCAGCGGTGTTTGGGATCTGGGTGAGGATGAGGAGTGCCCTGAGTGTGGTCACTAGCCTCGCTGCCCTTGGTACTGGGGCTGGAGGGTGTTTGGACACAGCAGGACAGCACTGGGTGTCCATGAGGAGCTGGTGACAGGAGCCCCTGCCCTGCTACAGCTTGGTGTTTCACTGCACAACCCTGGATTTTCTGTCTTAAACTTGTTAAAAATAGCCCTGGAGAATGTCAGGACATCTCAGGGTTTTTTTTCCTCTTTCATCCCTCGTCAGTACTTGGAATTATTTATAACAGTTGTTGGTGCAATGTGCTGGCTTGCTTTATCGCAGTGCAGAAAGCAGCTCCACGCGCTCTTTCTGACTTCAAAAGAAGTGGTGAAGGAATGAGACAAATTAATGTATGAGCCTGAACTTGCCTCTCCCTGCAGAGCCCCTCACTGGTGCTGGCAGCCCCATGCCCTGGCCTCACAGGGCTGCTCAGCTCAGGGGACCCCTCAGGCTCAGTTTTGGCTCCATGAGATTTTCTGTGGCTGGAAAACGTGTGAGCATTTGTGCCACATTGCATGTTCTGTTGTGGTTTGGACTGGGCAATTGGTGGCTCTTGAGTTTTGATGTTTTTTTTCAATAGAATAGCCCTTCTCTGAGTGTTGGGTCTCAGGGCATGAAGTGTGTGTCCACCTGGAGCCTGAAGGAAGGAGCCAGGGCCAGGCAGAGCCAGTGCTGTTGGTGGCTTTGTCTCCTGGAGGAACCAAACCTGCTTCTACAGGGCCATGCTGGGAAAGGGGACAGTGTCTCCTGCTGCAGTCCTCTCTGGGACTTTAAAGCACCTTTCACTAACGAGCCTGGCTGTTGGAAAAGGACGTGTCTCACCTGGGGGTGCTGGCGGCAGCCCTGTCACCCCATGGATGTCCAGGCAGCTGGGAGAGGGCACTGCCAGCAGACCATAACTGTTACCTTTCCTTATGTAAGTTCCACTGGCATCTCTTAAAAACTCTATTTGGAAAGAAATAAATAGATGTCCAATAGTCTTGGTGCAATTGCAAGAAAAAAACCCAGAAAAATCAACAAATGAAAGAACCGTTTTAAAGGTAAATACCAAATGTATGACCAAATGCATGCCCATGATTGCTTGATGCAGAAATTACTACAGGTCATTGCATTAAGCTGAGATGTTGGTCAGATCAGATGATCAAAAAACGCCACCAAAAAAAGAAAAAAGAGAAAAGAAAAATTCCCTTCCTTTTTTTGCATTTGTGAATTCAAGTAATAATACATTGATTCACCTTTAGCTTGTGGGTTAGTGTATCCAGAGCTGCCAAACGGTGGGATTGCAGCTTCCACCTCTGCAGCAGATACTCATGTTTCCACAACTCTTTTGTTCCTTTTCCTGTTCCCTGCGTTCAGACAGAGCTGGAAACCAAAGCACAACGTTGCCCGAGGAAAAGCTGCATCTCACAGACACGTCCCAGCATCTCATCCTGCAGCTGCCACTGGCATTGAAGTGTCATTGACCTAGTGGGAACTGCCAGGCCACCCTCACGCTGTTTTAGCTGTATTTGCAAACCTGTAAGTCATGAACTGATTTTACAAATCCTCACGTTACAAAAACCCAAAGGAAGAAAATACAAAAATAGACTCAGATGGATCAACCTCTTCTAGCTTTTTATGATTTCCAACAAACTTTATTCCAAGCAAGGAAGAGAATCTGAAGGGTGAGCTGTTCAGTTGGAGGTACATGCATAGCTTTGTGGTGTAGACGTTCACCTTCATGTTCATACCTTTAGCTATAAATGGGCTGTCATACCTTTATAAAAGAGTCTGTCATATGCAACTGGGCTCCAAATGAGCCTTGTTATTGGTTGTAAGACTTCTACTCAGTTCTTGAAAACCTGTATAAATACTCTTTAGAAAAACCAAACCTGACAGAAGCCTGCAGCCCCTGTGCCCTGGGACCGGGTCCCAGTGCAGCCTGCACCCATCCTGCCCAGGCTGGGGCTCTGCTGGGGGTGCTGAGGGGATGCTGCTGGCTGTAGTAAAACCAGAGTGAAGAAGTGCTTGTTGGCTGGAAGCCCTTTGGCTAGAATGGCATCTGGAACACCCCTCGGCCTTGCCATGGCCACCAGCCGGGGGTCTGCACCCCGCGGGGCAGGGCTGCCCAGTCGCTGCTGAGGAGCTGGGCTGGGAGCAATCAAGAGGGGAGCTCTACCTCCTGGGGACACTCTACTTTCTAACTACAAGAAGGGGCTGGGGCAGTGGATGAACCCTCCCCTTCTCCTGCTGACCCCCCGGCCCCCCCCGGCGGGGGGAGGCAGCCCCCCTGCCCCTCAGGACAGCGAGGTGATGTTGGAGCGCCCGCCCGGCGGGGCCATGATCTTCTGGGCCGTGCGTCGGGCGACGTGGTCGTCTGCCTGCGAGCCTGGGGAGGGGAGAGGCACGGGCTGGGCTGCAGCACCCTGCTGGAGACCCTCTGCTGCTAGTGCACACACCCGGAGAGCTTGCCCTCCTGGGACGTGCTGATGGTTCCCTTACACAGCATTTTGGGCATTGTGTTATCACAGCAGAGCCAGAATGGCTTTATTTGCCCTTGTTTTTATCATGTCTTTCTAGAAAACATTATAAACAGCTTCCCTGTAAGCAAACATTTCCCATGTAATAAAATGTGGGACCTTGTTATTAAATAATACATGATCCATCTTATTCCACCCAGCTAAGAAAACAAGATTACTAAAGTTGCTTTACAGCAGAGCCTTGGTTTTCCAAGGTCCCTGAAGCTGCCAGGCAGAGTCCAGCAGGACACTGAGCTGAGCCGTGCTGGACACTGCCTGCTTGCACAGAAAGACCACAGGAATTCTCTTTCTGGTGCCTGAAAATAGTTATTTGGCTAATCTCTACAAACAACTTCTAATGCCCAACTCCTGGGGGATGCAGCTGGAGCTTCAGTCCCAATCACCTGGCAGCCACAACAGCATCCCCATTAGAATCGTTTTGGTTGGAAAAGACCTTTAAGACCATCAAGTCCAACCATTAACCCAGCACTGCCAAGGCCACCAGTAAATCATGTCCCTCAGCACCACATTTAATGGCTGTTAAATCCCCCTGCAGGGATAGAGATTCCACCACTTCCCTGGGCAGTGTGTGCCAGGACCTGACAGCCTTTTTGGGGAAGACATTGTTTTTAATATTCAAACTTTGACCCAAGAAGGGCCACAGGGACATCCTCCCATTCAGCCTTCTCCTCCCCATGGTTGCAGCCTCCACCCTCTCCTGTGTTCACAGCCATTTACATGGACACTGTAACACATGCTGGAGATGTCACATAATCACAGACCGGTTTGAGAGGGACCTTAAAGATCATCTAGTTCCAACCCCCTGCATGGGCAGGGACACCAGCCCAGGTTGCTCCAAGCCCCATCCAACCTGCCCTGCAGCACTGCCAGGGATGGGGCAGCCACAGCTTCTCTGGGCAACCTGGGCTATTGTGTCACCATCCTCACAGCAAGTAATTTCTTCCTAATATCTCATCATCTCCCTTCTTCCAGCTTAAAACTGTCACCCCCTCATCCTGTCTCTTCATGCCCTTGTCTGAAGCCCCTTCGGGCACTGGCAGGTGCTCTCAGGTCTCCCTGGAGCCTTCTCTTCTCCAGGCTGAACACTCCCAGCCTGTCCCAGAGCTGCTCCAGCCCTGGAATCCCTGCAACCCCATTTCTGTGCCGCTGTTGGTCCTCAGGCTGCTGCACCAGCAGCACTTGCTTTGTACTCAGCAAAACCCAAGTTTCCATTCTTGCCTTGCCCAGCACTTTGTGACAGCCACACAAACCAGCCCCCAGCCCCGCCCCGGGCCCCCGGTCCTACCAGACAAGCTGAACCCCGACTGGTGCAGGTTGCGCACGGGCGCAGCCGCGGCTTTGCTGGCGCAGGGCGCGACGCGCGCGGCCGGGCTGGAGCCCCTGGCCAGCACCTCGTGGACTGGCCCGTCGTACAGACCCCGGGGGACGCCGTGGACCTCGGCCAGCTGTGGGAGGGAGAAAGCACAGCTGTAAGGCACACGTTTGGCCCAAGGTGAAGAACCACCAGGCCCAACATGGGTGTCCCGAGCGGTGTCACCTGCTGGACCATCACGTCCTCCTGCAGGGAGGAGATGCCCAGCCTGGGGTGGCCAGGGCAGGCAAAGCCTTAAGGGCTTCATTACCAGTGTTTCTGCTCCCAGGCAAAGCAGTGACAGCTCTTCAAGTAGGGACAAGCTCTTTTCATTTGTGCCCTGTGATAGGATGAGGGGCAGTGGATTCAAACTCCAGCACAGGAAGTTCCACCTCAACGTGAAGAACTTCTTTCCTGTTAGGGTGACAGAGCCCTGGAACAGGCTGCCCAGAGAGGTTGTGGAGTCTCCTTCTCTGGAGACTTTCAAGGCCTGTCTGGATGCCTTTCTGAGTGATCTGCCCGAGTTGGGGTGTTTGTGTGGTGCTCCAATCCCCATCCAACCTGCCCTGGAATGCTTCCACGGATGGGGCAGCTACAGCTTCCCTGAGCATGTTAATAATAATAGTAATAATGATAGTAATAATAAAAGTAATAATAATTATTATTGTTATTATAATTATCATTATTATTATTATATAGCATCATCATCACCACCACCATCATCACAAGAATCTATACATAAAAGCATAATAATAGTATACTAATTATACTATAATTAATATACTATTATATTGTTATATATTATTATAATATATTATATTATATAATTTTTATTTAATAGTATTGATTATACTATAATTAATATTAAAATATTATTACTAATTAGTCATTACTGTGTTTCTGCTGCCTATTCCATGAGCAGGCTTGCTGTGACAGTGACAGCAACACAATAATGCAGAGAGATCACAATGAACATCTAGGATTATTGAAAATCAACTTCTCCTTACCCTGTTTCTTGCCTTTATCCTTTTATAAACAAAATCAGGGAACGTCTTTCTAGGAATGAAGCGACCTGAGCCCTGGGTGACACACAGGTTTCCATCTTCCAGAACAACTTTTCCTTGACTTATGACCACAGCCGGAGCCCCGTGGCACTCTGTGCCTTCAAATATGTTGTACTCCACGTTCTGGAAAGAGCAAAGCACAACATCCAGCATGGCCAAGATCAGGCAGGCAAGGTGATGGTCTATCCAGCTACACCCACAGCCCCATTTCTCTGCATGCCTGCTCCCCTGCAGCCCAGGGATCTGAGCCAACAGGGTACCACCTCAGGCAAGCTCAGCACTCACACCTTCTTAGCCCACAGCAAATACACTGAGTGTAAAACCTGTGCACAGAGGCAGGCTGTCCCAGAGCCCTCTGCCACCCTCTTACAACCCAAGCCCTTCCAAATCATCCAGCTTCACTGTAACCAAATGGCATTTTTGCTTTGCTGTGTTTTAAAGAGGAAATGCAAGGTCCTTCACCACTTTGCCCCCATGAGCAGCTGTTGGCCAATGGTCTGATCTTTGCCATCTGCACCAATAGATCACTTTACTGTTCTCCTCAGACTCTAAAAACAGTTCAAGAAAATGATTTTAAAATATTTCACCAGATTGTGAGTCTTGGCTGAGATGATTTTAGTAGCCTTTGGGTTCCACAACACCAGGTCTGCATCAGAACCCACAGCAACACGGCCCTTCCTGGGGTAGCAGTTGAAGATCTTGGCAGCGTTGGTGCTGGTCACCGCGACAAAATCGTTCTCGTCCATCTTCCCAGAGACCTGGAAAACGGGAGGGAGGAAGGACCATCCTCAGGGCTGCACCCTGCTCCCAGCAGGCAGAGCCCCCTCCCCGGGCTGGGCCCTTCCTCTCCCACCAGCAGGAACCAGGCACCAGGAGAAGACACTGCAAGATCCAAGCACCTGAGGAAGCACACTGTGACAGGGCAAGAGGAGATGTGGAGGACTGAGCCTTGTCCCTGGGGGCTAAGTGATACAAGAGAGATCTTTCTTTTCCCTGGACTCTGTGAAATTTAAGGTCTCTGAAAAACAAGACCTTCCCCAATAGGCTTCAACTCCCTGTGCAGGCATCTCATGTTCACTAGAGACAAAGGACGTTCCAGTGACAAAGACTGGAAGTGAACCTACGTGGTGCTGTTTATCATGTTTATTATCTGGAGATAAATCCTATTTATCTTTGAACAAAGCCTACCCAAGACAGAAGGCTCAGGGTGGCTTGGTTCCCAAGCTCCTGAAGCTTGCACAGAGGTGCCTGCTTCATGGAATGTTGGCTGGAGCCTGCCAGGGATACCCCATGGGAGGACAGGGTGACTGGTGTGCAGGGACAGGGGACTCTGTCCCACCATGCTCCATGGCTCGCCCTGGGCAGCACAGCAACCCTGCCCACAGGCATGGAGCTGCTGCCATGGGATGTCCTGACTCCATCCACCTCCCCAAACCTCCTGCACGCACCAGCGGAGAGGGGACATCCCATCTTACCCTCAGGAAAACACATTGGAGAGACTTGCCTGTGGCTGTGAGTGGGAGCAGGATGGATGAGCCCTGCACTTTTGAAGATGCTTTGAAGGCACTCGAGTGTCACATCTTCTCTCACTAGCAAGCTCCTCTGGAGCAGCAGTCTAGACAATGTCACACCTCCCACTCATTTGACTTAACGAGGACACCAACAGCACTGAGCACAACCCCCTCAGGAGCCGGGCCCAGCGGGGCTGTACCTACCACACACTTCTCCCAGACGATGCACAGCCGCTCCTCGATGCCGTTGGTCCCCTCGGGGATCAGGGTGAAGTTGTCCTTCCCCACGGCCTTCTGCGCGGTGGTGAAGGTGCAGTGGGCACTGCCAGCAACCTGCAGGTCCCCGCTGGGCAAAGCGCAGCAGAGACCATCAGCAAGGACCCACCACCTGCTGGACAGCCCACTCCAGCAATCCATGTGGGAAGCAAGCACTGGGCTCACCCAGAGACCTAAGCAGCAGCCCCATAAGCCCTCTCTGGAGCCTCAACTGGCCATTATTTTTTACTACTTAATCCAACATTGCACCTTCCTTTCAAGCCTCGGATTGTTTTAGGAACTGGTTCTCCAACCAAGGTTATTTTAAAGCAAGGACATAGTTAAATAAAAGAAGACATTGGATAAACCCAGACTGTGGGTATGGAGCCATGCCAGGCATGGCAGGGTGAGGGGAGAACTGAGCAAGGGTCAGCTTGGCCAGCCTGGGCACGTAACACCAGATCTGTGTCAGAGCTGTGCTAGACTGAACTGTGCTTGGATTTTAATGTCTCTTCTAAGAAAATATTGTGTGTTGAGGTACCTTTGTAGCCCTGTGTAAGACATGCTGCCATGAAACTCTTTTGTTAAAAGCTGTTGCCTGGGCCCCTGCTCCCACCCATTGCTGCTGGTGGCCATGACCAGTTGGGTGCTGTGAGATGTCACACCCTGCCCCGTGGCAAAACTCCAACTGGGATTAACAGCTTGATTAACCTGGGGGCTTTGCCTCCATACCTTCAAACAACTCCCCTTAGCAATGTGCCTGAAAAGCCTCTGTTTCCCACATTTTAAGAGCCTGCAGATGCCCAAGGCTGCCTCGATACAATCCGTGTTCTTTACTGCCCAGGCAGGGCAGGAGGATTTCCCTGGGGCATGGCCAGGATGAGCAGCAGTGTCCCTGTCCCTTCTGCCCTGAGGTGTCCTGGCCATCCCGTGGGATGTGGCACCTTCCCCAGCTCTGGTTCTGGAGGAGGAACCAGGCAGCATGAGCCTGATTCTTACAGGAACAAGCTGGTAATAATACCTGGCATAATCAGAGAGCCATTTAGATCTGTTTTGAAAGTCACCTGGCTCCTTGCTCAAAGATCACCCAAAGGTTTATTCTCCTGACATGGAAAAACATGCCAGATTATTATTTTTTTTCCCAACTCTGACTGTAGCATCAGGGGAAAAGCTGAACTGTGCTGCAGTGCTGCTGCACCCCCCCGGGACTGGGGGTGCCGCCGGGGGGTCCCCAGCCTGGCCAGCCCCACTCTGCCAGTGATGCTGTCCCTGCAAACCGCCCCAGCCCCAGGACTGGCACTCACCAGGACAGGAGGGAGGCCAGGTGCTCCGGCGTGGTGGGGTCCGGGCTGAGCGGGGGGGACGTGACGAAGGCGGCGGCCTTGGCCCAGTTCTTGCTCCAGTAGTGCGAGCCGTCGGCGCCCAGGCTGGCGGTGATGGGGTCCCCGAACACCACCGCGCCTGCGGAGCCGCCGGGAGAGCCCTCACACACTGCTGGTCGCAGCAGAACCCCAGGCTGGGTTGGGTTGGAAGGGACCTCTAGATCCAACCCCCTGCATGGGCAGGGACACCTCCCACCAGCCCAGGCTGCTCCAAGCCCCATCCAACCTGCCCTTCAACACTGCCAGGGATG